CCAGGCCCCAACCACACCGCCTCCGCCTCCGCCTCCGCCTCCGCCTCTGCGGCGGCCAGCGACAGCGAGCGGAGCCGGCCAGCCCCGGAGCGGGCTCTGCCGCCGCTGTCACGCCTTTGCTTACTTTTCTTCTCGTGCCACAGTCGCTGAGCCCGACTGCGTCCGGATGAGACGCGTGAGTCCTTCGGCATCTCCCAGGGGATCTGTCACTCCCTCTGCACTTAGTTGGCATTTGGTCTCCAGAGAAATTGACAGAGCAGGTCTTCGGCTCCTGCTTATAAACTCTTTGGAAAATGCCTGTTGCTATGTCCTATCCCCTTCTGTAAGCACTTTTCAACACATTTTAGATGTGAATTTGTTTGTTTTCATCTCAGATGTGCAATACAATCTCGATCGGTTAAGGAGACAGAAGAGCTATGGAATACGTTGGACGGCAGACCTGGGGAAAAGAGAATTAATCCATAGTCTAGACCCAGACTGGACTATGAGTGTAACCTCAGGTGTTCAGTAAAATACCTCAAGAAAGAGTTTGCCGTACAAAAGTCAGCAGCTGACTTGGTACGTAACAATGAAGCAGTCAACCATAAAGGATGCACTCATGCACCTGCTGGCTTCTTTGCTTTTGCAGTGGAAGGAGGAGGAAGCAACAGATCCCTACTGATTTCTCCACGCTGCTTCTTTTCACAAATGGCCTATCTCATACAGAATATGTTTAACTGTAGTAGGTCCTGAAAGGCCTAAACAAAAAGATGTCATAAAATTTCCAGCTTAGCTATCAGAGAGACAGATATAGTGGTTGAAATCCTGTCCCTACTGACAAAGCAAAACATAACCCAAAGTCCAGATTTCGGTTATTTTTCTTAGCTGAGGAAAAATCAATTTTGTATGTAATTTCTCATGGTTTTTTTTAATGCAGATTTTTAGCTTATTTTTTTTTTAAACTGAATTATTTATGTAAGCTCCTAACAAGAAAGTTACTAAATATTTGTTTGTGGGCTTTTTAAATTGTTCAATAAATAATATATTACTTCACCCAATATATCCAACAGCCACTGAAAAACCTAATTGTCAAGTAGAAAGGACAGCCTGAGAGATTAATATCATTTTAGCTGTGAGACAAATTCTAGGTTGGAAAGCTAAATTTGCCTTTGCCTTAAACCATTGTATTATGCAGCAGTAGGATATGATACATCATAGAGTGAGGGCTGAGTTAAACTAATGTTTGGTGTATTCTCCATCCTATAAGCACTCTCCAGGTTAATAACACATATAAATTTTGATAATATCAGAAAATGAGATGGTTCTCTCTGTGTAGTCCAGAAGAAAAGGAAAAACATTGTGTTTTTGGAGGTGGAGACGGGGAGATATTATCTTACATTCATTGTGACTGCAAGGCACAAGCTTATCACTACAGTGACAGCAGTAAAGGAGAAACAGGCCAGAATGTGAAATGTGTTGAGAGACAAAGCACCAGAATGATGGTGGCACAACAACTTATATCTGCAGGAACAAATATGCTGTGTTTTAAACCCAATGTTTAATGCTGCTGTGGACAAGTAGAGACAATGGCATGAAAACTCTGTTTCTCCATTTCTCTCCATTTCAGTAGTGGAAATATTAGAATAGCAAAGCAGCTAGAGGTAACAAAATGCAATTAAGGCTCAGCTTTCAGATGATTTTCAGTATTTATATGCTGGATAAGACATGTACATTCATTATACCCTCTATTCTCCCAGCTATTTCTATCTCCAAAGCTGGCTATTGCTCCCAGTGATTATTTTAATTAAAAACGGTATTTCTTGATTTTTTTAAAACTAAAGAAAAAAAAGCATAGGAATATTTTCATCAAAAATATTTATTTTTGAATGAAAAATATTTTCATAAAAATAACCAGATATTTATCTTGATACCCATATTTCACCAATATTTAGCTTGATAAGAATAGTCTCTGTCAAAAATTTGTTAACGCTCTCTATCTATTCTCAGAATTTCAAATCTGATGTAACATCTGATTGTAAAATTTGAGTCTGAAAGATATGCTGTTTACTCAATAGAAATTGTCCAGAGAAAACCCAGAATAATTTTCTAATGAATGTCTCATATTTTATTTATCTTCTCCACATAAAAAGTACTGCTAAGTTAAAGTTGTGGTTAAAAGAAATTCCTAGAAATGTTGGAACATTTTAATTCTGAAGATCTAGGTGAAAATAAGAAAAGATAAAAAAGAGAACAAAAGATATGCTTTCTCTTACAAAGACAAAATTAATTAAAATTTATTATATTTCTCTTACAAAGACAAATTCAAGGCCAGAACCTCCCTTTCTAACATGGCACAGAACACCTCCAGGCTCCAAAAAACTGCCAATGACCTTCAGTAATGTTCTTGCCTCAGAACTAACTTAGCTAATACAATTTATCCCCCTAGCATTAAGGTAGAAGCAAAAAAAATATGAATCATGTCAGCAGGTGGCTTTCACCCCCTCTTTAGAAAGATGCTAATTAGGATTTTTCCATGAGCATGACTGACATTGATACTTTAGTTCTTTGTTTGCTGGCCCAGGTTAGGAGTACTGTACCCTTTTCCTCTCTGTTTTCACAGGGATCTGGACAACACACCAGACAAAGCCTAAAAATTTTGCTGGCCTTCCACAGTGACCCACAACCTTCTATGTTTGAAAAGTATACATGTTCCCCTCTTATGCTGTCCAAGTTTTCTTAAATAGCCATAGCTTTCTACATTCTTTCTCTTTCTTCAACAAAAAGCTAAAAATGCATTTTCTGAAATAAAAATAAAGCTTTCCCAAATCTGCATATAATAGGTATTTTTCAACTGTGAGCTGAAATATTTTATGTCTCAAATAAATGATTACTGATAACTATTTTGCAGCTGGGTTACTATAATAGCTTTTAATTTTTTGACTATTTGGTTATAGCTAAACAAAAGAAAAATTTAGAGGACTTTTTAAATTTGGTTATAGCTAAACAAAAGAAAAATTTAGAGGACTTTTTAAATTCCATTTTCCCATATCTGTAAATATTAATTTTAATTAATTTTTAATTCCGCAGCTGTTTGTTCAATCATTTCAAATTATATATATAAAAAAGATATATCTTGTTCAACACTCCTTAACAATTCTGCATTTTCCATGGTTGAAGAGCAAAAATAGCCTTCTCATAGTAAAGGAATTGAGATAGCTATGAAATCAAATCCTGCGGTGCTTTCCACAATTATTTGGGTTTTATTTTCTTAGAAGAGACAAAGCAAAATAATTTCTTGAAATAACATTGACATAATAGCTATACTTAAAAATTAGGCTTACACATAGGAATATTGAAATTCCTATTATTTTATTTGATACTTAAACATTCTGTCCATTTATATATTTTTCTTTATTCTTTTTTAATCAAAAAAAGAGTATTCTCCTTTTTATCTTTAAATAGAAAACTTGAATATACAAATGAATGCAAATCCCTTTCTCTCACTTAACACCAGTGTAAACTAGGAGGAATTGCAACAATGTCAAGTAAAACAGCTGTTGGGGAAGGCAAAAGCATAAAATGATTGAGCACTTCATAAAACTATAGTTGCCATGATAGACAGTACATTGCATGACACTAGGTCAAAGGAGAACCTAGAAAAAATATTTACAAAAGGTAATCAAATAAAACCTGGTCAATTAACAATCGGCTTTACAGAAACATTTGAATATATGACACAGTCTTCTTTCTAGGCCAAATTCTTTTTAATGAAAAACAAAGTCCTCGCTCTCCTCTTACCCTTTCTTTTGAAAAATCTGGACTGAAACACAAAATTAGTACCACAGGGAAATCGTATCTCAGTTTCTGATAATTAGCCTTCTTCTAACCAATAGACCACATTCTTCTAGAAGATGAAATCTCCAGTGATGCACCATCTTCATCCTTTTAAGGAGAAAAACACAATACATAGTAGGAAGCTCCAGGCCAGAGAGATTATCCCATATAGATTTATAACAGATTAGTAGATTTGTAAATTGATTGTATCTTTAGTATTAAATAGCAGTTGAGAGAGAAGTCATGAAAATGAAAGACAACTAATATTTCCTGTGTCAAAGATTTTAAGAGATCTTCTAGAGCAACTCTTAAACATTACAGACTAAAATGAGCTACCAAAGTTAAAATGTCCTGACCTTCAGTGGTGCTGACACTTGTTATTCCTGTTGGCCTGAGTAGGAAATTTGAGCCTATAGCACCTTTGAGCATCACATAAGTTTTATTTAAATGGTTATTTTTTAGGCACTCAAATCTGAGAAAGAAAAAAAAAAAAAAAAAAAAAAAAAAAAAGGCTGTTTAAGTGTAACCTCATGAAAACATCTGACTTTCAGCACTTTGGATTCACATCTTAGAAGCATGTCTGTACTTAGAATAGTAATGTGGACTCTCCCCAAATCTGTAAGAAGTGAAAGTCCCATAATAAACACAGAACTTACTACAAGTGGATTTGCAGAAAAAGAAGTGCAAAGTAATGCCAGGATATCACTAGTGCATAAGTAAGCATTCCTTGTACGTGAGTCAATCATTTCTAGAAAGAGGATATAAATAAATCATGTTTGAGCCTTCTTTCAAATACTTACATTTCTTTATATGATATATTTTAGAACATTTCACAGCATCTAAAATATATAAAAATAAATATCTACAATATTTACAAAGTATGATACAATCCAATCTTTAAAAAGAATTGTAAAGACATGTTCTTTAGCTCATACTGAGGTAAGTAGGTTTCTGTAAGACTGAGAAGAAAGAGGATAGGCAGTTATTTTGAAGGAATCCCTTTGTCCAGTTGTAGTCTGTAGCACAGCTAAAAGCATGTGACACTCTCTGGCAGTTGTAGTGTATTGAGCCAAAGTCACCCTTGCTGTAACTCCATCGAAGTAAGTTTAGTTATGCTAGGGACAAATTTATCCCACTCTGCATTCTCTGTTCTGACAGTGTCTTCTGCAGAAACCCTCATGGCTTCATCTATATTTGAAGTCATGTTCATCCCGGGTATGTGGAGATGCAGTTCCGCTGACTTCAATGGGCTGAGCATGGCTGGGATATCTGTAGATAAAATAAAGATTGTTTATAAAGATTCTAAGGATTGTAGATAAAATAAAATTAAGATTGTTTCACTGCTTGTATCAGTTGGCTGGCTAACTCACTCTCTGATTACCTCTCTCTGAATACTTTGCAGGTGATAATCTAACAATAAAATGGTCTTCCAGAAAATGTTTCAAATTTCATTTGAAAATTTTAAGTGAAAGCTTCTTGACTGAAGACTAAGGGCATTTTTGATGCATAAATCTTGATTTTTTTTTTACTTTTCAACATTTTCATGTGTTCTACTACTTATTAATATGCACTATTTAGCAAATTGCCCTGAGGTTCCTTCTCCAGATGCCTCTCTGACCAGCAGGGAACCACAGCTTCCTGTTTACAAGTCAGTAATGGAATCATTGATAGTTTGGGTTTGAAGAAATATTTAAAGACCATCTAGTCTAACTCCCCTGCCATGAGCAGAGGATAGAGAGAAAAAAATGATGATAAATGAAAAACAAAGGGTAAAACATAATTTACAGTCACACTATCATATGGGTTTTGTATTTGTAACTTCGCTTTTGCCATACATAAAGGAATGGGAATTCTACTGAATTCAGGTGAAAATCCCCATTCCTTCTACATTAAACAAAAATCGGCTTCCCAGCTGCTCCTGAGCACATTCAATAGCCTACCTAACATGAAAAAGAACAGAAAATTTTGCAAAATAAATTAATATTAATATCTTATTTGATCAACCTAAGTCAAAACAGAATGCATGCTAAGCAGATAATTTGAAATAGTAAAGGACATTATGGTATTTCAATCTCTACACTCAATTTTGTTTAAAATATTTGTTACAAAATACACCACAACTTCAGATAATTAGATCAGAATAGAATACAGCTGTTCATAAACACAGTCATGAATAATTTTCATACTTTCAGGTGCTTGTTCTTTATTTACTTAGGAGGCTAAAAGAAGTAGGTATCCAAAGAAAATACTTGTATAAAGTATGACTTCTTTACTCCCTCCCTATCTGCAACACGACTTCTGAAATAAATGTGAAGAAATTTTCTCTTGCCATTACAAAATCAAAGTTATGGCATATTCTATAAAATATTTATTTTAATTTTCTTTTCTTGCAGTCAGTTCTTAAACACCCTTCTCTCTTTGTGCTTAGATCCCAACATTGATGGATGCACAATTAGAATTTACTTCCATGGGATCAAAAGGCAAAGGGACCAGTATACTAGCAGTGGGTAATAGATGCAGTACCATTTGATGGAATTGTGTTTACGTTGGACAATGCAACCTGTTCTGAAAGTTTTGAAATGTTATCAAAATTGCTGATCTGGGTGGTCAAGGATTTCCGACTCTCTGTACTGGCACGACCTCTGGTGAACCGTTCGTCATGGTGGCTGCGAATGCCAAGGATGCAACAGGAAAATGCTGCTTTAAATTCTTCTCTAAATTTCCCTGTCAACCACACAAAAATCACTCATGAAAAAAGTGTACCATAAACTGCATTTCATCAAACTTTATAGATTTGTATATAAAGGAGTTATATAGAGCGAAATTAATGTAAAACACCCAGATGCTCTTCTAATGCAGAAGTAGAAAATTACAGTTTAATCATCTTGGAGAAAGACAGAAAAAAGACAACCTTTCTAAGCAGACATGCAAGGTATCATGTGAAGACTGAATTATTATTGGTAGACAGAATGGACAAACTAGAATGATTAATGAAACCACCTCAAAGATAGTCTGCTGATTAATTACATATATAACAAAAAACCAATTGAGCAAATATAGGCTTGACAGATTGAATCCTCAATTGATATTTGAAATGAGAGAGCATGGCTAATTTGTGTTTTATCATTAATAGATTTTAAAAGAAGCTTCACAATGTTTGACAGTTCCATGCTTTTGGGGCTCAGAGGAAATTGTTCAGATCAGTCCCACACTACACACCACAAAAAAACTACAGTGGGCCAATATGTAGAGAGGATCAATAGAGTTTTGCCTCCCTGTATTTAGCTGCAATAAAACCAGTTCAGGTCCTGATTCTGCTCTCCAAGCCAAATGACACATATTCAAACCAAGACAAATCTATAATAAGTAAGTAAACAGCATCTTGGCTGTTTCTTTGACATTGACCCTACTTGGCACAGTCTGGTCATGCAAGTACTATTAAAGACTCACAGCCTCCAAATCCCAATACTTGAACACAACATGCCAACAGGGGACAGCCCCCGGACTGTGCTGCCTGCCAGAGAGCATCCAGGGAGTATTTAGAGGAATGGTAATTGTTTCCAATCCAAGTCATGCCAGGAACTTCTCTACCACATAAATGTCATGGACAGCCACACTCCAGCACTTGGACTCAGGCCCTGGCACACTCTAGGTTACTCATTGGTAGACAGCCTGAAGGTAATGGGATACTTCAGGCAACCTCTTCTAGGAAGAGGATCTAGCTCCCACTGGAGGAGCTGAGCTGAAGTTAAACGGTCGTTAATTCTTGCTATGGCTCATTACATTCAAATTATACATTAAACTTGAATTCTAGGTAACTGTAACTTACCACTGAGGAAGTTATAAATAATAGGATTGGCTGCACTGTTTGCATATACAAGCCAGTGTGAGAATGTGAACCAGGCATATACAGTTTCTCTGTCATCAGCATGATTAAACATCCCAAAAACCCTACAGAAAGAGAAAAGAAAACCTGAAAGATGGCAAAATTAGAATTAATTTAAAAAGATTTTACAAGTTCTAGCCTAATGTTCTCTCTGATGACCTATTTGGAGCATCACAGAAAGGCTGATTCAGCAGTGCTCTCTTGAGAGAATCCTCTCCCCAACCCTCAGCCTCCTGTCTTGGTGGCTTAGCACAATTGAGACTTTACTATGGTGAAGATGCATGACTTATTTACCGAGTAACTGAAGTCATCTGGTGTAGATAAGCCAAGAAAAGACTGGAAAAGTTGCTTTTGATGTACTCATGTCACTGAGCTTCCTGGCTCTAAGCCCACTCTCCAATACACTCTTTAGACCACTCTCCAAATATCTCTTGAATTGAAAAGGCATTGAACTGCCCGCAAACCTGAAGCTGCCATTTTTCCTCCAGGAAAATCTGCATTTCCCAGACTCTTTACACATTACTTCTGCCATTTAAATGAAAATCTAACTCTGGGCCTACTCTGCTACTGTTGTTGAGGCAGCCTGTGTATTTCCTCTGTTTCAGGTTGTAAGTGGCCTGAACCATCTTCTGGAAATAGTTCTCTCTCTAGATTTTCTACAGAGGGACTTGCAAATGAAAAGTATTTAAATTAGGCCTCAGGGAAGAGCCAGAATTGAGTGGGATGTACTTAAACCTTGAAACTATCTCTTAAAAACTAAAATGTTCCAATAACACCCCAACTAAAAAAGCACCAATAACATGCTTGTTATTTTTAGGATATTCTGCCTTCTGCTATGTGCCATTACTTATTGGTATTCCAAAGGGCTCATGAGGTGCAAGTTTACCAAAGCCTCAGTCTGTCAGGCACTGTAGAAAAACCAAGAGTGTAGACACATATGAAATGCACAGAGAGGAAAAGATGAAAAATTAAAACAAAGCTTCATAGGACCAACTGAAGGGTTAGGCTAAGATCTCAAAACTCTATGTAAGTAGCTTAGGTTTGAAATCAGCATTTCACAGTCCTCAAAGCCAAGCCACAATGCTACACTCTGCTGCTCACCTTCAACTGCTGCTTTAGGTGACTGCACTTCCCTGGGGGCATTTACAGCAAACAAGCTGTAATCCCATGTAAATGACAAGGTTTAATGAGGAGATAGGTTCGATCATTTTCATGAGGAAAGACCTTGTTAATAAGAGTTCCACAATCTGGCCTCTAGTTTAAGTACTGTGGATAGGTTATATATATATATATATATAAAAAATACATAATAGATAATATTTTCTTGTGATTGTATGCTTATTTTCCATTTCTTTGTCATGCAATAAATAAGCTTATCCATCCAAAGTATCTGCCAGAATAAAAGGAACCTTGTAACAGACAGAAAGCTTTACCAAGTGTTTATATTTTGGGATAAACTTTACCTTTTCAAGACATTGAGGATGCTGATTGGTAGATAGCAAAGTGCAAAAACCAGAAGGACAACCATTAGCATACGTGCTGTTTTCCTTCTTGCACGAATCTGTTTTATTTCAGCTGCCACAGCACTAATCTTTGACTTTGTTGATTGTCCCAGCCCACGGGGCTGTGCTGAGGGCTGCTGAGGCTTCCATTTCTTCTGAACAACAGAAGAAGTCCCTGGGATCTAAGGCAGACAAAATAAGGGCCATTTTGAAAAAAAAATATATTTTAAAACCTGATTTTTTTCCACATATATAACAAGAAAAATAGACAGCTTGACATACACAATGTAAGCTCACACAGATAAAAAGGATTTTTAAATTAAATTAATTGACGTTGCTGCAGCAAACTAAATTTCAGACACACTAGTGGGACTGCATAAAAAATGGTGTTTTATTCACAGATATCAACTGATGCCCTCAAATTTTCTGTACTTCCCACATACCTTGCCTTGCTTGTGTCCTCAAACTATTAAAATTACTAACCCTATTGCTGCAATTACATTGCTATAAAGGTCTACATTAAATGTTTTGTTGTATAGCAGAGTAGTTTTCCCCATTACTATGCTGCTAATATAAGATACCAAACAGTTTTTCAGTACTGGAAAATGAGGATTTAAAGCCTGCATAGCTTTAAGTGCTATAAAACTTCCATACATGCAACCTGGATGACAGTGAAGTAACTAAACAAATAATCGCAGCTGAAGTGTGGGTATCTCTGCAAAGTTCTTTAAAACTGAGGGAAATCATGGAAAGGTGCCAAGACACAGAAAGAATTGGTTTAGTCAAAGCCATGTTGCAATGAGCATATGTAGGATGATGCTATTAAAAAAAGAATTGGTTTTTTGTTTTCTGTGCCCTCACATAGAACAAGCCAAGTTAAACAATTTTGCTTCAGTTCTTTTAAATTACTTCCTGCCTGCAGCGAAATGAGAAAGACTGCAGATGTGAAGGACTTTCTCAGAGAACTCTTATTACAATTACATTTATAATATTTTCAATGTCATACAGTGTGAAAACTTTTGGCTGTAAATACAGTTTTATTGATGTGTAGTACAATTGTGCGCAGGGTGACTAATCTTGTGAAATATTTCAAGTTCAAAAGTATCTGGAAAGTTCACATTGTCTATTGTAAGCTTTCTTTAGTTTTTTATAATGGGGCTTATCCAGAAAAACTGACCAGAAAATTATGAATTTTTTATATTTATTTAAGTAAGAAAAAAGTAAACTAAAAAGCATGCACATTCAGAATTGTTCTAGAAAAATTACTATGTTGAGGTTTTGTGGGGTTGGGTGGTTTTTTTGGTTGTTTTTTGGTTTTGGTCTATTTAGTTATTTCTTGGCAGAGGGAGAGCGTTGTGTGTGAATATCTTCCTTGCACAGACAAGCCCTTAGATCAGCATTTATGTGCACCACCAAACATGATTTACAACTATTGGAACATTTTGGCAAAGTTGCCATGCAATGATCAGGAAATCTATGAAGCAAAATTGGAGGTAAGTTATAACATTTGGTTTTTTCTTGTGTATCCATGGATTTAAAACAACTCAGCTTCACAATTGCACGTCTGTCCTACTGCAAGGGGTTTACCCTACCTGGCTGTGGGGTGTAGCAAAGTGATAGAATGAGAGGAAATGATCTCAAGTTAAGCTAGGGAAGGTTTAGATTGGATATAAGGAAAAATTTCTTCACTGAAAGGGTTGTCAAGCCTTGGACCAAGCTGCCCAGGCCAGTGGTTGAGTCAACAGTCCTGGAGGTACTTAAAAGATAAGTGTATCTGGCACTTATGGACATGGTTTAGTGGTGGACTTGGCAGTGTTAGGTCTGTGGTTGGATTCCATGAACTTAAGGGCCTTTTTCATGATAAATGTTTTTATGATTCTATGATTAAGTATGTACAAGCGTATACATGGGACTATAATGCATATATTTGCTTTTTGGTAATGAATCAGTCATAGAGATAATTTTGAAGCATTTGTGTAATGCCAATATTTTATAAAAAGCCTATTAGCGGTGAATAAACAAGTACTAAAATTTAGAGTTACTTTCTTATGCTCCTTTTCTCTATCTCCTCAGATAGTTATCAAGGGGTTTATAACCAAAGAAAATCTCTCAAATGTAGTATCAGCTTTCAAAGATTGGAAGGGTATATTTCAACTACCAAAAAAATAAAAAATAAAAAATGATGGAGTTACTAATTATTAATACAAATGGACTTTAGTGTCAATGCACTTGGACATCAGAAAATTGAAGCATACTTGGAACTTGATATTAGAAATCAACACTTTCATCATAAATGCATTCAGTTCTGCTTGTTCAGAAGCTGTTTTTAATCTACTTAAAATCCACACAAGAATATAGACTTCTAAATCACTATTTCCTTGCTAATCATTAAAATAAATTACTTAAAATTTCTAGTATTTTTAAAATTATTTTTCTTGTCTTCATAAAGGTGAATTGTTAATTCAAAGACCTGCTTGATTTACACAATCAGAAATTTTAAGAGCTATTACACAAAGTACAGTAACAATAACTTGTAAATCAATGTTCTATTTTTCATCTGAAAATTTGCATGCACAACACATTACATTTTAAAAAAGAACCTTTAGAAAATATGTAGGGCATAGAAAGCATCTACTGTTTGTTGTGTTTTTTCTATCATGAACATCTGAAAGGCTCATTGTACCTTGCAATAAGATCACCACATTTACCTGAATTTCTGGTAAACAGCATGATTTTATTTTAAACTGTTACAAAAGAATACATTTAGAGCACTGAATTCATTTGTGCTGCATGACTGATTACAGCACACCTGCTGCACTTAGAAAAGTGCCTGATGGCTGCAGCCAAGTCAGAGTTGATAGTAGATGTGCAGTGGTTTTAATTTCACTTAGCACAGCCTCTTGTACATAATGCTATCATCTAGGCCAGGCAGAGACAGCTGTAATTTGGCACCACCGACAGCACTAAGCCTGTAGTAGAAATTATCTTCCAGCCACTGAAAAATAAAGGATCATCCTAACCTTGTCAGCATGCAAGATGAATAGGGAGAAGAAATATTGTGAAGAATAAACAGACCAGCTAAAACAACTGGGGAATGGAGGCAGGGGGAACCCCAAAATAAAGGTTGATTTCCAGTCATTCAGCTTCTGTTCTACATCTGAACCAGCAATTTCAACTATGTGTAGGTTAAGAACAACTGCTTTCCATTAACTTAGTTAATTTAGAGCTTGAGAGGGTTGGCAGGTTGTAAGGAAGGTATAGAAGAGAAGGTTAAGAAGGATTATTGTGATAAAGTCATTGGGTGATGCAGGACAGATTCAGCAAGGCAGAGCATATTAAAAGTATGTTTAGACTGAACTGAATAACAAGACTAAGCAAGAAATCCTTTGTTCTGGAGAAGAGTGTTCTCAAACTGTAAAGGTTAAATTCTATCTCCAAGACATCTTGTTAATTAATCTTATCAACCTAAGAAATTAAAAGCAAAAATAACAATTTAAAGCATGATAAATTTAGCAATTTAAAGCATGACAAGCATGATAAACAGCAATTCTGGCTTAACCTAATCTGATTAAAGTAACAAGAATTGCTGTTATGACTTATGGAAGATTAAAAAAAGCCTTAAAGTGGATTTGGTATTTCCTGTATATGAGTTACTTGCAAGAGATATATTCTGTCAGCATAAGATTTGATTTTTAATTTTATCATATTTATATCTAGAAATCTGAAGTCTATTTATAATTTCTTTGATGAATCAATTTGAACTGCATGAAAAATGTATCTCATAGGGCCAGTATTATCCCTTGCCCAGGACAGCCTCAAAATTGGATGGTACCAAACAAGCCGGTGAGAGAAAAGTGATTCATGCCCATATGTTGATGGAAATATGAACCATTGTTAGAAGCACTTGAGAGAGAATGTCTTGCATTATTTCTTCTACAGGATGAGTTTACTGTCCTTTACAGAATTACAGGGCAGCTGGTGGTGGACTAAAGCTGTAGATAAATCCTGGACAAAGCAGAAGAGAGCACGACAGACTGGTGCATGACAAATTGCAGTTCACACACACAAAATAATTTTTAAAGTTTCCTGAAAAAAACTACATCTTTTTTGACACTTAAAATCAAATGTTCTTTGTCTGTTTGTCTTGGTGGGTTTTTTAGTTTGTTTTGTTTAGTATTCTTGTTTTCTTTCCTGTATTTTTTATTTGAAGCTTGAAAGAAACAGATGTTCACATTAGAAATGGTGTCAATTATTTGTCATCAAATCACATCAAATGTTATTTGTAACAGCCAGATTCACATCAGGCAATTCCAGTCTCCCAGTACTGATAGTTGGACCTTCTAGTTTTCATTTCATTCAGATTGAACCTGCCATCAACCTGAGTAAGAAAAATAAAAATAAAACTAACAAAATAAGAAAGTCAGTCTTAAATTTTGACTGCTACAGGAGATTTTGGCAGTATAAATAAGGTCACCTAAGGTATTTTGGTAATCATTTCAGATACAGTGAGGGATATATTTCTTCTACCTATAATCAATTTTTCTGTTGCCTTTTGCTTTCCTTCTCTCTAAGAGAAAGCCCTTCACAGACAGAAAATGAGAAAGCAGTTTACTTTCTGACTCCCTTAATTTTTCAATACATCTCAATGCTTACCCAAGGTGTCTGTACACCAGTATGGATGTAAAAATCAAAGTCTTAAGCAACAACATGGGGTTTATAAAGAAAGAGGTTGTACATGGGAATCTGCACAAAGTTGCAAGAGCAAGTAAACAGAGCCAGTGCTAAGTGACTTACCTGGCGACACCACAGCTTTCGGAATATTTGCAAATAGGCCAACACCATAAGACACAGTGGTGCCATGTATGTCACCAGAAAAAAGCATGTGTGATACATTTTGGGGTAAACCTCAGCTGGAAAGAGAATTCAAATAGGAAAGTTGCACTTAAATATACATATATTTCAAAATCACCTTAAGAAAATTATTCATATAGATATGCATGTATTTTTTAACATAATAGGAAAATGTACCAAATAATATTATGGTCAAGATTTTTTTTTTTAATCACTTTTAGATACATTCTATTAGAAACATGCTTTTTATCTCAAGGATCTCCTATATCACATTACTGATTTCTTATCATATTATTTCTTTATAGTTTACTTTTTGTTAAAACAGAGATGGATTAATTTTGTTATCTAAAAATGAAATGTTATCTAAAAGTGAAAATTTTTGTTATCTAAAAATAGGTAATCATCCAATCTAACTCATCCTTGTCATATTGAAAGGTTATGTAACTGTCTTTAGTTTTAATTCTGCAAATGCTACTAGTTCACTATGCAAATTCTGCAAATGCTACATTTACTACTAGTTTACTAGTTCCTGAGTAACCTGTACCTATAAACGCTGCAACTGCAAAATACAGCACACAGGACACTGATGGGAGGAAAGACAGACATTTCATAAATCACTGTTTGGTGGCAGAATATATGTTACTAAGACTCAGTAGTTAATTATTATATTTTAAAAATAGAATCAATACATTCAAGTGCTTTAAACCAAGGATATCTCCAGGATGGTTTTTAACTCAGCTTTAACATTAATGAGTTTGGTACTGTTGTGTTCTAATTTCCCATGTATCTCTTTTCAAAAGACAATTTATGAATGTTATTTGCTTAGAGAAAACATTATAAGTGCTGTGAGTGTATTGAGTTTTAAGAATGTTGCATCTTAAGCTCCATCAGTAATTTACACCAGAATGTGCACTGCCTGAAAACTTGTCTTCTTTTGTAACATTAATTGTAGTTTGCCATTACCAACTGTTGCTATTAATTACAACTTAACACCTATGGATGGCCTCAGGAATGGAATGAACATTTTGGAGAGTAACAACACATAGCAGAAGAGAAACTGCACCTCATGAAGAGTTAAATTGCAAGGTAATCCTAATCATTGAGCCTTGGATAGAATAAAGAAGGTACATTTATGTTAATTTCTAGAATTTCCAAATGTTTCAGGATTATAAAATCTGCAAGTGAAATTCTGTATTGATTGTTGTTTTAATAAAAAAATAACAAAAAAAAAAAGAGTTGCACAAGATCAAACCTTTGGTGCATCAAAATTATTTTCTGCTTGTTAAAGTGACTGTTACTGTGGACCCAATCAAAGAAAAGCATGCCAGGAGAATCTCAGAGCTTTGTTCAGACAAAGATATACAAAGACTTGCTTCATAACTCTCATAGCAGGGAGGAGAATACCATCATGTAAATTCCAGGCTCACTCTTAAATGCAGACTCGAGTAATCTCCCACTTGTCATTGGACCTGAAAGTGCCACCTGGAAGTGCCAGTCAGAAAACCTTCAGTATCAAGGAGATGGAAACCTGCTACAGAAAAATACAGCCAATCTTCTTTCCCAGCAAAGGTAATAGAGATGCTGCCACGGACATTTGATAGTTTTGATGGATCAGGGTTCAGAAAATTCAGATGAGTAGTATTTGACATCTTATTTGCTCTAAGATCCTGTAGCAAACCAGTTTACCAACTCTTAACTAGCAGCTGCAGTTACTAACTCTTGTCAATAACCCTTGGGGAGCCAGACCATTTGGGGCAGTTTTTTATAAGTGGCATTACCCTGAGATTATATGTTGATTGATAATCCCAAACTTGCTTTTGCATTGCAGAAAATGCAGCCCCACAGCAGTCCTGCTAGCCAGGGAAGTACTGATATGCACGCTTCACAGGTGGGGAGATTAAGGAGAGACTGGAGTAACGTGACTGGCTGGGATCACAGGAGGTCAGAATTGAAAGTACATTCTTTCTGCTCAGGAGGAGGTGCCACCTGCCCCATCAGTGCTCTGCCGGCAGCCGGGCCCCTTTCAGGTAGAAGCACGGTACATATTTAAAAGGCCATCTGGAGTTTATGACTTCCAATTTAGCATTCCAAGTAAAGTAAAACATTAAATGAGCCTAACTATCTACAAAGAACTGAGGACCAGGTTGGAGGAAGATCCTAACACTTGCCTTTGAAGTTTAGCCACCTGGAAAGTGCCAGCTGCTAAACATCAAAGGAAACCTGTCCCTCCTCCACCCAGGGCAAAGCCCTTTGCAGAACTTTTCCCTAAGAAGCATGACTCTGTTTAGCTTCTCAAGCCAAAGAAAAGCTTTAAAGCTGTTTGACAATCACAGCAGCAAGAAAGAGGAGGGCTGGCCAAGGATACTATTCATTTATCAAGTGAGTTCCAGGCTCCTTAAATGCAAACATCAATCAGTCTGTGGTCCTGCCTGACTGGGACAGCTAAAACTCTTACAGCCAAGCAGAAGAGGAGAAAAGTGTCCTTGCCTTCCATGGTCACATAATGGACTTTGGGACAGGGAGTGATTGTTCTCAGCTGGAGTAACCATCTCTTTAAGAATAAAATAATGACACTCATGTCTCTGGCTACTATTCTCTTGAAAAGAGAGAATAAAACATAAAGCAAACAGGTGGTCATAGGGGTTGGACTGGGTTCAGATCAGCATTCCTACTCAGCTTCACTCATACACTGTAATTACCAGAGCTGATAAAGGATCAGTACGTTAGAACAAGCTTTCATCTGTCTAATACAGGGGTTATTAAACACATTTTAAAATTTTCTAAAGCTTCCCTCTCTACATGGTCTTCCATTCCCAGCCTGAAATCAGTAGATTGAAACTGGATTTTTGCCAAAATTTTGCTATATTTGTGTAAATATATATATACATATATGTATACATATACATGTGTAATCAAACCGAAATAAACAGTCTCAAAACATTTTGATATGTCTAGCAAATGAAATAGTCCATTTAGCCATAGTGCTTAAAAAAAATTGGTATTCCTGACAGCTTCTTTAAGAATAAGGAAAAGCAGGACAATCAAGTTTGTTGAACATCAGTAGAGTTCCCAGGTTCCCTAATCTCAGGAAGATACCCATGAGGTTTTGGAGTTACCAACATAGAGAAGCAATGTAAATAAAAGTGTATATTTTTAAAATTGAGCTTAATAATTAGGGATGTTAGGAAGTGGGTGCCCATAGCACAGAAAAATCAATCACATAATGCACTGCTTCCAAATTAAGTCCCTATGTCAGAGTACTTATGGTTAGCTAATACTAAAATTACATTTTGAAACCTAATATATTGTGCTTGATTTATCAACTTACAATAACACCCAGAATAATTTTAGTATTAGAAATGTTCTGACTTCCTCCTGCATTAAAATATTCCACAAATTTTTCATTAAATTCTGAATCTTTTGATAAACAGGATGTATAAAGCTTCTTGCAGTACTGCAATTTCCAGCTATTTGTTTTCCAGAATTAAGAGAATGTGTTTTTTGTACTATTGTATGAGTAGTCTAAGAGGAAATGGAACACAAAGTCTTTCCTTTGTTTCTATTCAACCATGCAGTTTTGGAAAAGGATTATGTCCATATTCTTTTTATCACTTGCTTGGCTAAAGCACTTTGGCTAACACTCTCTTCTTGAACAGCTCAAAGACAATGTACTTAGCTGACTTGGACACATGGTGAACTCATTTTAATATACATTTCTTTTATTTTGGCACTTTATCATCAAATTCAGCACAGCAATTAGAGGCCATTATAGAACTGTGGCCAACTCTGGCTCCTTAAGTGAGCCCGCATAGGTCACATGTTGGATCCTTCTGCACTCCCAAATAAAATATTGTTATTAGACAGTACTCAAGATGAAAAACCCTCAGCCTAGAACTGGCAATGCATTTTATATTCAGGAATGCCAGAAGCAATTATAAAGAAATTGAGCCCTGCTTTAGGCTGAACTATTGCTCCATTTGCAGTCACTGGCAGTCTTTAACATTCACAGTTTAACATCCTCGGAACATATGGTGTACATGATTCTCTGCAAAGATTTTATCAGATGTATTGTAATTTTAGACAGCATTAATTTTATGCAGCTCTAAACAAAGCAACAAACACCCAAATACAACCCCTTTCTCTAAATTGATTCTCCTGTAGGACTTTCTTAGGGCCTCCTGAGTGTGTGCAACATCTACATCTCCACCTTCTCTTTACAAAGAAAGGTTATTTGTAGTAGCATGAATTTCCCTCTCCTTCAGCATCCTCCTATTTAGCTCTTTCTTTGACCCTCTATATTTGCATAGTCAAAAAAGGAAAAAAAAAAATCCAACAAAAATGTAACTATTTTCTTTAAAATTGTTAGCTTTTTATTTCTTCTTCCAGCTTTAAGGCTCACCACTCTTTTCACACCACTGCCTTTTACTCTTTTCTTCTGTTCTTCTTTTTGGGGGCCTTTGTGATTTCAAACACTATTTTTCTGTAGAAAAAAACCACATATTCTATGCTTTGACCTAATTCAGAATCCTTAGACATTTTCTAATGGGAAATTAGAAATTAGAAATTAGAATGGGAATTATTTTTAATGACACTCTATAGTCTGAAAGGGATGTGTGTATATATATATATATATATATATTATCCTCATTGATAAAATATGGCTAACTCTAGTTTTACTAAGCAATTTTGAGAAATCTGCTTGTAATTTAATGCATATAAAGATTCTTCTTTCAAGTTACTCTGATTAGCTATTATTAGAACATGGAGATTTTTTTAAGGATATCCAAAATGCACCAGCAGAATAACTAGCAATGATGGTGCATTGCCATTAGAAGAATTATTCATTAAAAAGGCAGCAAGATAAAAATAGGATTGTTATCTTTCCCTGGAATGAAAAGCTTCCCATTTCAGGAAACTTGTTAATATAAAATTATTATTTTCATACTCAATATAAATAACAATTTAAAGAAAAATTGGAGTGTTTGCACACCCTTTCTGAAGTCAGACACAAAGAAATTTATTCTATACGCAAGTATCTGCCTTTATTACAATCCCTTTTATCTCTCTAAACATTGAAGTGAAGACTCACATCATAAGCTAAAGACCAGTATATTTAAATTTAGACAAATACACTCCTTTTACACTCCAATTTACACAAATACATAGGAGTAGAGTCTTGCAAGCACACAGGAGTTTGGGTTGGTTCTTTCTTGTTCTTTTTTTGTATAGTGGGTGCTTCACCTCAGGCTGAAACTACTTCAGCACAACTGAACAAGAGGCACTCTTCAAAATATTTCTAAGCCTACCACAGACTCTGTAGTTCAAAAGCAACACTTTCCTATTGGGAATTAAAAAGTGGCCAATACAGAGCTGGAAATTCTGAGATTACATTCCCTGATGAAATGCTCTCTTGACTTCCTAATTAATTAACCACATCATTTCCTAGGCTGAGATGAAAAGAATCTTTGCTGCAGAGTTAACCCTGAAGTGATGAAGGCATGAATAATTGGTTCTGCACCAAAATGAGTGGACAAAAATAGTACTTGAAATGAATGTTGTGAAAGAAGATAGTCACATAACTACTGCAGTATCCTGCAGCAGAAGGGGATACAAAATTTTTCAGATGAAGAAAGAACACTGTAAGTAAAGAGCAGATGTGTCCTCTCCAGTGAAACACTAAGTACAGTACAGCTTAACAGAGGCTTCCTCTCAGCTACAAACTTAGAACACACCTTTGACAGCAATGAGCACCAGTGAGCTAGTGGCCACCTCTACTCCCTTGTCCCAGAGCACTAACTGAAGGAGATAAAGAGCAGGGAATGTGATTCCCAGTGTCTTCTCATTAATCCTCTGGTGGCTCTGTGAAAGCCGTTAGCAGGGAAGGAACTTCCAGAACAGCACATGGAAGAGCCCTCAGCAGTTCAGGCTGTTTAAGATAATTTATCATGATAATTAAGTACAGGTGATCCAGTTGTATTTTATCATAATTGTTCACAGGACTGGAATCTTCTTCTACAGAGACAGATCTGGGAGAATATCTGATTCTGTTTTAGCTGGACTGAAGGCTTTTAAACACAGGCACCTTTTAGTTACATGTTTTGGCAAACTTGGCTTTATTTTCCCGTGTGTGAATAATGGTATTACTGATGGCCATTATATCCAGTGTCAGAGTCACAGCATGTAACTCATGCACTCTGTTAGCATTGGAGGTCTGCCAAGGCCCACCAGAGTCGAGCCCTAACCATTCGGGTGGGTGGCTCACACCACTTGCTGTGAATGAAGACAAAATAGAAGAAGTTACTCCCTGGCAATCCTTACAGCTTCATTCACACACAGAAGATGTTAGATTCAAAGTTAATCTGGAAGGGCAGGATTACACTTATTGTATAGACTAACTTGTAACTGATTTCTTCCCAAAAGTTATTTGAATGATTTTGTCCACGACAAATTTCAAATTTTAGTTTAACTCATTACCCTATATTGATGAGACCACTGTAAATTCTGCAATGACATTTATCTGTAGTTTGCATTGAACTCCCAGGAGATACCTATAAGCACTAGTCAAATGCCAGCAATTACCAAAATACCTGGTAAACAGAAAAATCTATTCTTGCATAGTTACTTCTTAAAGCTAAATACTGAAGTCTTTGTAAACCTGCAATGTCCATCAGTCACAGAATTATATAAGCATAAGCATTGAAGGGTGGGAACATTTCTGAACTCTGGGAAGCATTAACATCGTCATGACACTTTGTCAGCCTCATTCATTTAAACTTCATTTAAAATGTACTTTAAGCCTCAACAACACAAAAGAAATTCACAGAAATTTCACAGAATTTGAAAAATTATAGTTCCAGGAAAGCTTATATAATCAAGAACATTTTGTGTTATGTTTATACAACTTGACTTCATATTAACATCTCCTGACATTTTGATTATTTTATAGCAGTACAAACTCAGCTCGTGTGGTCAATGACAGACTCACCTCCCCAGTGCTCATCACACACTGTGAACAAGGTGGTTTTATTGGCTAATCCTGGGAACACGCTGCTGCACTCCATAACAATAGCCTGAGGAATCATTATGATGCAGGACACAATCCAGATAATTATAATGCTGTTCCTTGCTCGCTTGGCTGTGCTTTTAAACATCAAAGGGTGACAAATTGCATACCATCGATCCAAAGCAATGCAGCTGAGTGTTAGGACAGACACAGAGACAGAAACTGTCTAAAGAAAAAGGAATATTCTGTAAATACAAATGTAGAGCTTTTTCCCAGAGTTTCAAAAATAATTTATTGCATTTTTCCCCCAGAGTTTTAAAAATTATTTGTATTTTCAACATAGTTAGTTCTTTATCTGCAATTGTTAAATAGACTCCCAGAAAAAAGACTCCTTTTAAAATCATTTCTTACAGAATTACAACAGATATCCTCATCTGCTGAACTCCTACTAGAATCCACAGGACAATTCACACATTAAGATGCTAACTAAACTGAATAGGTGTTGCAAAATCAAATTGTGAAAAAGAAAATTTAATCAACTGGAAATTTATAAAACTTAATCTAAAGAAAACAAAAAGCTTTTAAAACATTAGACTGTGAATTTAATCTTTTTTTCTTTATAGAAAAATTAGTTGGTTTCTATGTTATATTAGCATACTAGAGCCATTATTTTGCTTTTTACTTTACAAGAACAGTGAAACTCAGGATCTCATGAAAAAGTCCTTGACAACAATCAGCTTAAGGCAGATTATGACATTTTACCTTTTATTCACTAAAGGAAATAACCTATCACTTCAGTTTTATTCTTTCAATTTGTATGCTAGGTGATCACTTACTCTTCAGATTTTCTTTCACTAGAAAGGAGGTTTTGAAAAACAAAGTTGTAATTTTGATTGTATCAAGTAGAGCTCATAGCTGCTGGAGAACATTGCCTTTGACAATGTGGCTCTTTGGCCACAGATGTGTCTTCTGCAAATATAAACTGCTGCAGGCACGGAGCTGATGATCTGCATACACTCTGAGTACTGCTTAATTCTTCTGAATTTTAATGACTACAAAGCCAAGCACTTGTCATTCTAGTTTGCCCAGTCAGTTCATCCATACACCTACTCTTAGGGAAGGCATTTGTCAATCATTTTGATGCAAGTATTTTCAAAACTAGTTAAGTAAATGAGTAGAAGCAATTATTGCTTAAGGCAGACAATCTGATCAACTCCCAATGAACCTGGATACTTTGACACAAAACCAGTAAACACAAAAAAAGCCCATACTGCCTTCAGAAGTTGGATTCTCTGTCCTGGACATTTGTGTAGCTGTTCAGAACCACACAGAGAAAATATTAATAACTTTATTTCTATTTACAGATATTTGTATTGCTTTACATCCTTTGTGAATCATTAAAAAAACCCCACAAAAAGTAAAGAGCATCAGAAAAATGTCCCCAAAAAATGTATTGCCAAATTCCAACAATCAGATGGATCAAAACCATTCTTTATTATGCATAATCACATTCCACAGTCTTTTAGGCCTCAGCATGTACTCTGAGATACCTACTCAGTATCAGCTATAGACATTCATTGGATTAGAAGTATTAGGGAGATGCTATTTCATTTCTGGTTTTCATAACATGGGTAACGTGTACACAAACAGAAAAACAATACCTGTAAGTAGGGAATCACTTTACAGAGGGTCTGCCCAAAGAACCACGTTTCTGTGATGTCCACAACTAAAGTTGCTGGAAGACAAGTAATTGTGACCAGAATGTCAGCCAGAGAAAGATTCACTATGAAATAGTTGGTAACGGTCCGCATGTGATGATTCTTCCACACTGCAAGGCAAACTGAATTTGGAAAGACAAGTTAGTGAGATGGAAGTGACTTGGGGAATGCTTTAAGAAGAAAACATTTGACTTCATGGAATTAAGGAAATGTTTGTGTCCTTTGTTTAACACAGAATATCTGAATATGCAGTTCAGTGCAAGAACCATGTGTTTTCTTTTAGAGTGGGAGCAAGAGAGTACATGTAGAGAGATTCTTGATACACAAAGAATAGCTTTCCACAGACTGCAGTATGGGAAATAATCCAATATATAAAGCATCTTATTTCTCTCTTAATCTTCACTAATTATCCATACAACTTTATTTCTCTTTCAAGCCATTGACTCTATTCTACAGCAATATACATCTATACCTAATCTGTAACAATTTTCTGGGTAACTGTGATTTTAATTTAATAAAAGTAATTTTTTTCTGTATTAAATGTTACATTTTTGATGGTGATCAAAAGCAGCATGTAGCAGGCATCTTATAAGATGTACCTTTAAAGCTTGTTTTGTATATTTTATGTTGCTCTTTTTCAAACAGAGACTTTTAGAAATGGGTCAAATCAATCTTTAAAATCATTACATTGAATTCATAAGCTGCTAAATTAAAAATGCCATAATTAAGTCTGAGAAAGTAGCAGAAAAGTAAGTTTTAAAATAATTTTGGAAGTCAAACCCTGAGTGACTGGACCAGTCAAAAGGTTTTTAATTATTTAGATTTTTAAATTCGTTCACCCAAAGATCTTTAAAAACTGATGCACAAAATTTTCCAGAAACACCACAATATAAGACAAGGATACAATTCACTGTACATCAAAGGCTCTTCCCTGCAAACAATTATTCATCCATCACGCACATCTAGATGAAGATTCAAAGTCTCCTAATCTGCCAGGATATAGCACAATGCTTAATTTAGATATATTAAACAGATCAGAGAATGTTAAAAAATTGAGCTTAAAAGGTCCTCAAGAGGTTGCCCAAACCTAAAATGGAATCTGCCAGAGTTAAGCTGCTCTCTTATAGCCATTAAATGAGCTAAAACAGCTGGAAAAAAGTACACAGTCTTTAAGGCACATAAGCTCTTGAGATCAGATGCTTCTTTAGATCCTAAGAAGGATGATGTGCCTGAAAGCTTCTGTCTGTCTTCCAGCTGTATCAGTTGATCTAATAAAATATATTACTTCATTCCACAAATCTTATGTCCTTAGAGCAACAGAACTACAGCAAGACTACAACTTAGCAACTGTTGGTAAATTTAAATTTGAAAATCTGTTATATTTGAAGATATCACACGTCTCTTAAATGTTTTACATTGTTTAATTATTTCCCCACCAACAAAAAAAAAATAAAAAATTATTCTTATGTCTAATCTACTTTTATTTTGCTGCTATTTATATAACTTTTTTTTTTTTTTCTGCACATAGGCAGGAATGAGGAAGAGTTATTTTCCTGCAGCAATGCTTCACATATGTAAGGGTTTTTGTTACATATTTCCTCAGGACTTCAGAGCTCTTTATCTTCTACTCTGTCATTTCTAGAACTTCTGCAACCATCCTTGTTGCTGCTCTCTGGACACTTTCAGACTGAGACAAACCTTTCTGGTCAGAGTGCAGTGACCAAAACTGGCAGAATACTCTTTCAAGATCTTATCAGTGCAGTGGCAGGAGCTGAGATTGGTTCTTCATGAGGGTTATGACATGAGGTTTAGACACTTAGACTAGGACACAGAGAAAGGGGGAGGCTAGGTGGCCTTTGGTTTCTCTAAGAGAAGGTGATTTTATTATCTATCTTCTTAAGATACAGGCTTCCCAGGTTCATTTAAAACCTCTGTTGTAATGCAACATATGTTTTTCATATATTTTAATGTGTTGCAGAGATAGCTCTGTATTCTGTATCTCATATAAATTTAATTTTTGCTATATACATATCATGCTCTCACAAATGCAAATGAAAACCTCTCTACAAAGATCTTCAATATTCTTGCACAGGTTTTGAAGAGAATGCAGTATACATTTATTCTATTGTTTTCTCCCTGAATACAGAATTTCCAGTTTTCTTAGTTTCGGCCTCAGATATCTAAAAGGCAAGGCTTATAAATTAAAGGCTTAAAGGAAGCATCACATTGATTTTATTTTCTTTCTAATTGGAAGATTTAAGGTACCTACCAAAGTAATTCTTTCTATAGCACTGGATGATTATTACAACATAAATAATCAGAGCTTTATCACTGTCACTTGTGCATGGGGTTACCACAGTTACAGTCTGATAGTGCAGAGGCAGCACCTAACAGAAAAATAATACATTGCTGCCCCTCTGGAATGTTGTTTGCAGTTGGAAATGCAACGCTGGGGAAAAAAAATAATTTCACTTTTGATAACTTTAATACTTAACTCTAAAAATCTGAAGATCTGGACATTTACTTATGGCTGGTTCTTTGCCTTAAATGCATTTCATATTGAAAGTATGGTCCTGTCTTTTACTTGGGCAAAAGTTGATATTAAGTGGTATTTTTTTTCTGTACTTATTATTCCTTTTATCAACAGGCAAAAATTAAATAAAAGGTTGTTTAAACGTTCAGAGTTTGGCTACTTTTTTCTCATATTATGGTTTCAACAATCCTGTGTTCTACCCAATTCAGACCAGTACATCATTTACAGCCATGGATGTCAGTGCCTAAAGGCACAAGGTTTAAGCAGATATGTTTGGTCTTTGACCAGGCCTATTCCCACTCCTTTGCTGGTCCATGTGAAAAAGACCTGAACATAAACATTATTTCTGATAAAACAAATCCATTAAATTGACAAATAGGAGGTCAATCTCACTGGCAGCCAGCTGTATCAGAAATCAACTCAACGCATTCTGCATGTTGAGTTCAAAGCTATCTATCAGTATGAACAAATGAAATCTTGTGATACCCCAGAGATCTAAGAATTACTACCATTTTCATCTGACACAAAGAAAGTGAAGTGCAGAGCAGAAGTTGTTAAAGGGCGTCCAAGTAAATCAGACACAGAATGAGAAATTTGGGCTCCTAATTCCCTGTCGTGTACTAAACCTTCCAGATCACACTGGCTTAACACAGATGGAATTTAGATGAACTTCAGAATTCCCTCTTCCTCAGAGTAACATAAAAGACTATGCCTCTTGCTACTCAGGGTGTAGAAGTGTTGAGGAAAGACAAGGTACAGAAACTACCCCTGAATTCCAACCCATGGGGGTAGGCACCCAGAAGGTGAAAAACCCCAATAGTTTGCAAGCATAGAAATGCAAGATAATTTATTGCTTTTTATTTCTCTGCTTAAGCTTGTGTATTTCCCCTTTTGACCTCTTCTTCTCAGCATAAAACATTTCCCATTCTTTTTACAGCACATACCACAAGAGCACCTTAATCAGCTTTAAGTGTACATAAATATTTACATACTACCATAATAATTAAGTATCTCAGAAATTCATTCCACAAATGTATTAAAAAAAACCCAAAAACTGAAAAGAAGTCTGAAGAGGAAGTATTTTAAAACCAAGTCAGCTTTCTCTGCACTCACTGCCCTCTGCTGTCTGCAGTACTGTTTTCAGCCTGCCACAAGCATTGATAATGTTTTCTTTCAATGCAAGGCTAAAAGCTGTGAGGATCTGCTACAAGTTATTTGAATAGGGCAGAATGATAAAAAGCCATAAATAAGTCCTAAATGACATAAAATTAGTTCAACACATTTCTTCCAGCCTCACTCTTTTTGAGTTTACTACAGTCCAAGGTTACTCAGTAGTCTTGGACAACAGCTTCATTGATAGTGTTCTAGCAGCTCATCAATAAAGATTTTCTAGCCTGTGCTCGAAACTTACTATTTTAAGGCATGAAAAATAGTTTGACTATGCCACTGAATATTGTGCAGCTAGTTAAGTGTCAGATCAAAAGAATTTGAATACTCTCCACTTGCACTCCTTTAATTATACATTTTCATCTCAAGCAGTTTTACAGAGAGGCACTCAGCTCACAAAGAAACACTCAAGTAACATGCTAGGGAAAGAAAGTTCCATGGAGTGGAAATGCCATCTGCCTACCCAAAAAGAAATAGCAGAGAGCTGTGAATTTCCACTTATCTTGAAGATGAGAAGAAAGGATAAGAAAGGTAGTAAAGATTCTCAGTTGGGAGTATATTTTACCAAAAAGTACTTCAAAATCATAAAATAGGAGATGAGACCAGCAGCAGCCTTCCTAAAAAGCTTGGGAGATACCACAGTATCAACAGGATACCTGTTTAGCTAGAGCACAGAAGAGAGGGCCAAACTAAGCTCTTTATACCTCCATTAAAAATATCTGTGAAATAGTAAAAATAATTGAATAAAACCTCAATTTAACATTATGCACAAAGCTTTTATGCAGCCTTTGATGTTTCTAGCTATAAATGGGACTGAGAAAGAAAGTGGGGAAAGTGGTGTTAACACAGACACTGAAGAAAAGAGGATTACAATAATGGAAAAAAAAAAGGGGGAGAGAAATTAAAAAAAAACAGTTCTGAAACATGCTTCTGCTGTGCATGATTTTCCCTACTGAGAGTGCTCTAATGGAACCTAATTACCTGTCCAGTGTATTTTCCATATTTTTGCTTTTATTTTACAAAACAAATCAGAACTATAGCTATTCCTGCAAGTGTAAACATGCAAGCCAGGTTTTACAAGGAGCAGCTGTTTTTCCAATGGCTGTTAGACTGTCCCAGATCCTTCATCTCACTGGGGACACTTCCCTTTTCTTTTTCCAGACTTCAGCAGAGCTTTAAGCGAAGCGCTTGCTGTTCCCACCTCTTCCACACAGTGTCAGCGAAGGCTCGGAAACCAGCTGGAGTCGCCGGGCTCAAAGTGTTCAGAAAAAAATTGTGGATACTCTCCATAAGCCAGGACAGTTCTGTGATAACGAAGCTGGTTTCTGGACCCATCCTCCAAACACTGACTATCTTCCTTTCCCCAGAAAAATCTCACAGGAAAGTCCCAACAAGGACAAAAACATAAGAGGTTAAAATCAAAGTTAAAATTTAAGACGGATTGCTTTTAGAAATCCATCAAGAAAGCTTCACCTCATATTCCTGAAAAAAAACCAACCCCACCTTCTCTAATATGACAATATAGGGAGACTGGTATTTTTCACATACAAATTTAGTCCCTGTGGTTTAGTGTCCTGAGGCATTTTAATTAGAGGCTGTAATGGTGTTTAATCAATTAGCACAGCTCATTGTATCTCAAGCTGAATATGAAAACAATACAAAGGGACCATCTGGTATAAAGTGCAGCTGCTTGCTTCCTGGAAGATTTATGCTGTCTTGAGCATATTAAACATTGTGCTGCAATCCTTCCACTGGCAGAATCCTGGGTCAGCTGTCAATTTGTTTTCTACATGTCAATCCTAAATCATTTCCCTTACACTCCAGAAGTCTTGTCAACCACTTATTCAATGGGTCACCTTTCAGTGCAACTTCCTGGCCAAAATAGAAATGTAATTTCCATACCCAGAAATACCTGACATTTTCATATATAAAGGAATGACTTTCTCTCTTATCTAATTTTTGATGTATAATAAATCCCAGATGGAAGTAAACAAAGAATTATTTTTCATACTAAACCACAATGATTTTATTTTGCTTTGGTAATTCAGTCTCGCAACTGTTTGACTGAAATATCATAATATAGTCATATAGAAGTTATTTGGAACTGATGCTGTGTTTATAAGACCTGGTAATCAACATCTCCAAATGCGTTAGGCAGAAAGCTTCTAAAAAAACTTTACTCTTTCACAGTATTTTACAACCAGTGACAAGAAATGTGATAAACAGTTTTGAAGTATATGTTATTTATGCTCTATCTCCTAACCCACCCATCCCCAATTGTTTTCTCTTCACAATTAATTGGTTCTTCATATGGAATTCTTCCTCTTATTTATTCTCTTTTGGTGATATTAGCTGCTGCAAATCAGGATCTGAGTGGTGGGGTGTCAAGCAACACAATCATGGAAGGCTGAAGGAAAGGCTGAGCAGATATGCTGCCAAGGGGAATTCTGGAGAGCTAGAGCCCCTGTGAAATCACTGAATGTATACTGCTGGAAGGAAACCAGCCATGAGAACAAAAGATCTAAAAAAAAACATTATCTTCTGTGATGAATAGGGAGACATCTAATTCTTAGGCTGTCAAACTCTTACCCACTATTAAGCTCTAAAGTCACACATTACTTCATTTTTACATAACTAATCTTATCTGAAAGAAAGGAAACCAACACGAGACCAGGCTTACACTGAAAAGTATCAGAAAGAATGACACAAAGAAAATAAGCTGTTTAATACAATGCTTATTATGAAGGAAATGCTGAAAAAAAAAATTTCCTGTATCTGGTAGCAGTGCCTGGCAGATAAGAACTGTCCTTGAATATGTGATGCGATAGCTGGAAAGATGGCAAATACTCTGAGCAGAGGAATTACATGGCCTACCAGTGAGGCAATAGCTCCTCATCAGCAGCGAACACTAAATGTGTTCCAACATGTTTGAAGAAATTCTTAGAAACACAACAAAAAGAGCAGGTGGCTAGGTCATGCTCCCTATGTATCACATATAAACAAGAGTGTATGTGTAGGTTCCATCACACAGGAAAAAAACCAAAACTGTAAAAAATGTAGTTGAATAACACAGAACACATGAAATCCCAAAGTATTTTGTTGAATATCAGCTTCACTGGAATGTACAATGTAACTAATCACCCAAAAAAGACAGTGAGGAGCTACAGAGACTGAAACAGATAACAGTTAATTTGGTTTAGCAATATGTTTTCTTAGGTTTTACACCTATGTGTTCTATTGTACCAAAGGTTTTAAACAGACTAAAGAGTTGTGAGTTACTCATGTGCTCCAGCACATTTCTACATCTTAAGGACTGGCTTATCAAGGCATTAGAGAAGAAAACAAGAACTGTTTTCTGTGTACTGGAGCTTATATCTGTGGATCACAATTGGGAGTAATAGCACAACCATCTAAATGGCACTGGATTCACTTTCTAACTGAACCACATTAAATAATCTTAGGCAATCAACAATCTAATGGAAATGGGAGTTACTAGCAGAAGATTAGCTATGCTATAAAAACACTGCCCATAATGCCTGGTTTGGTCAGCTCTGGAGGAAGTGAAAGGTGCCATTACAGTTTTCCTAATCTATATCGATTATGACAGGTTGGTTTAAAATATCCACTCCCTGCCTCCCAAACCATTACCAGTACTAACTGGCAAACCCAGTCATCTCTGCAGAGCTGGCTATACTGATTGACTAGGTGTTTCAAAATAATAACTGATATTCTTACAAATAAAACCTACAAAATCTTTATCCACACTTTGTATTACAGGTGGAAGAGTCAGAAATTTAGATGTCATACTGTATGTGACATTATGATAAGAAGATTTCACACTCTGCTGATTCAATTAAAAGCTGACATTAAAATGAAGGTGTGTTTCACAGCTGAAATGCTGCGCAACTTTAAAAAAATATGCTTCAAAAAGCATCCATTGGTCACTGCAACATGAGTTGCACTAAGAAAAACCTTTCCATGTCCACGTCTGTTTCTAATGGAGATGTAAGACTTAGTGCCTTTCCTGCAGGATATATAAAGAAAACACAATTCATTATGCTAGTGACACGTTCCAGCAAATACCTTGCATATTATACAACTTCTAAATCTCTATGATAGATCCTCATTGTTAATATAATATTCTACAAATTGGCTAAAATCCTTGCAGTCCTACTGAGCAAAGAACCAGGAGACAGAGCAGAGTTCTGTCAGAGCTGAGTGCACCTGCAGACAACCTCTGCCCCTTGCCCAGGAGCTAGCTGGAGGCCAGCTCTGGTATGGAGCAGCACATAAGTTGGGACCAGGCTTCTGGGAACAGAGCTTTTGGAGTTTTGGAGTACTCTTTTGGGAGCCAGCCTTCTGCCCCAGAGCTGCATTTAAGCTCAAGCACTCACACTAAGCTCAGGCAAAGACCAGCTTGCAAGTATGCTTTTGCCTTGCTGAATTTGATTGTAAAACTCATCCACTGACTTGATTTTCTGGCTTAACCTCAGACCTGTTTCATCACTATAGATTTGTCTGGCAATTGCTGGGAGGTGACTGAAATCTGGTAAACATCTTCAGACCTACCAAGCTCTCAGGCACTGTGGGACTGTGCTGGTGAGTACACTGTCCTGTCAGTCTTGCTGCTGCCCTCAGTTGCTGCACCCCTTCCCCCGGGGAACAGTCCATCATAGTTCTTCTGACACATTCAACTTGTGAGACAGGCAGTAAGTCAGCTGCTTATGTCCAAGAAAACAAAGGTTTCACCTGACATGCAATGCAGAAAATAAACTGTATTTTATAACAAAAAAAAAACCAACAACCAAACCCTTCAAGATTTTTTTTTTGTTTTGAAAGATGGTGAGTAATCCCTGTATTATGGAAACAGCAATGTACTTCAGTTGATACCAAATTCTTACATAAATTGAGCTCATACTTTCTCTATCTTAGGTAGAAAAAATATATACATATTGTCTCATTTCCTATGTGCTGTCTTCTTAACAATGATAAAGCCATTCTAGTTATTATTCATCCAACAGATAAAGGTGACTCTCATGCTGATATTACAAACAAAGTCTTTTCAGTGCCAGATTCCCCAAGTAATCTGAAAAAAAAAAGAAGTAATAATTTAAAATGTAATTAAATGAAATATGCCTCATCTACAGCAATGAAATACGATTCATGAAAATCATTTAAGAGAATACATGACTCATCCAAATCTACCAACATAGGCATGTATGCCTAGACCTCAGTATTCACTGGATATCTTTAAAATTGTAACAGAGCAGCATTTGAGAGAGTTGCCTATTCATAGGCATTGAGCAAGACTCTGGTATTAGAGCCATACACAGATTTTTCTGCTCCAGCCCTAGAAAAATCAAATGGAGGCTGTTGAACTCTGTGAGTCAGCCTATGAGCTCTTTGAAGAAAGGAGCATAGCTGGGTTCTTACAGATCTCAGCAAAACTAGCAGTTACTGTAAAACAGATAATAAATAATACATCTATCCAGAGAAGGCAAAGTCTCTCCCAATCTCGTTCTGAGTTGAAATGAAAACCAAGTATCACCAAACTGTGAGTAAAGAAAGTTTCTGAGACTTCTCACTGAAGTACTGCATGGTCTCTTACCCTTGGAAGCCAGCAGTGTTGAGGACTTTCAAGCTGGGCACTGGCAGCTTGTATGTGCTAAAGATTTCAGCTCCTGCCAGCTCTGAGGAGGCCTGCCAAGAGGCCCAGCAGCCCAGCTGGTGGGATGCCAAAAGGTTGCTTGTTTTGCCTTCAGTCTTTGATCAAACCAAGTGATCTCTGCTGTACACTTTCATTTTGATGAATGCATGTTCCCTGAGAGAAACCATTTTCATTAGAAAAATCTTGACCCATGTGAATGAGTAACTTCAACAAGGGTCACTTGCATTTTTCATATGTATAAACAGAATTAAATACATGTAGTTGTACATTTCATTTCAATCCCTTGTAGTCTTACTCCAGTTATTAACTACTGCAACTGATCAGCCTGGAATGGCATCAGTAACCAGCGACCTCTAGACATCCTAAAAATACCTTTTCTTCCTTAATTATCTAATTTCCTATTTTTAAGCAATGTTTTTAATGATATGTTTTCAAATAAATAAGAAAAAGGTCTTTACAGTCAACATACATTCTACATGAAGTCCTATGTTTCGCACTAGATGTGCAAAGAAATTTCAAGAGTTTCATTGCTCTGCAATAGTAAGGAAAAGTTTTGGTCTTGTTTGCAAAATGAAGTCCTTACCCTCCACGCTTGTTCTGCTTCTAGTGATAAATAGTGACCAAGTGAAGAAGAAAATACAATAAATCATATTGATATTGCCATCTAGATTTCAGACTTCCTGAATGTTCACGCAAATATGTCATAAAACCATCTTAAAATCTGTTTCTTTTCCTTGACTTACATTGAAATACCTGTTAAGTGGCCAACCCAGGCATACAAGAGAATCATTGACATGAAGCACTTTGTGTGCAATACTGAAACCTGCATTCATATACAGAGACTTGCTAATATTTTTTCACTTTAGCTGGCTTGTGTAGCAGCTCAGTCAGTCTGTGTTGACTTCCCTAATTAAATTGAAAGCTAAATAGCAATGCAGACCTTGTTATATGCTATTATTAGTGGAATTCCTACTGTGTATCTCACTCAAGAACCCAATAGATGTCAATCAAAGTTTGAGCTTCTGATTCTACCCTTGTTTGTTAATTAACTGTCAGAATGCTTCAATCCACTTTATTACTAATATCTAAGGAATGTGCTGTGTCTTCCACTTGCACAGATACAATGTCTGGGACATTCCTTATTCCATGCGAGTGCACAAACCAAAATAAGAAGCAGAACTGTAATTTTCAGCACCACATATGGAAAGAGAGGATTTTTTCCAGTTGCTTAAGTGTTATTTGAACAGGACACGTTAAAAATAGAATCAAAGCATTGACTACACATGCCACAAGCTCTGCACCACTGGGCAAACATAAAAAAAGGTACGTAATGCATCTTTAAGGGTAATATTATAAGGCATTAAGGATGATACTATAAAGCACTAGTAGTCATTAAAACTTTCTTTAGAAGCACTCCTGCCCTTCTTTAAGAAGGTCCATGAATAAATCCCGGATTAACCTTGAATATAGATTTTTCAAGCAGCAGAAATCAGCTCCTCAGAGATACCAACATGTGCACTGTTCTACATCAGATTTCACTTATAGTAAAAAAGTTCCTCAAAAATATCTTTGTAAAGAGCATTAGATTACATGCATTTCTCTCCTCAGAATCACATGAGCCTGCAATCAGTGTACTGTGAGCTTTCTTGAATAAAGATGAGACAGTATTCAGCTACCAGGCACCTGCAGACACCACAAACAATTCACCCATAAACAGAACCAGCAATATGGAGCAAACAGCTTGAGAAGGATCATAGAATCATTTAGGTTAGAAAATACCTTTAAGATCATTGAGTCCAGCTGTAAAGCTGAATTATCTACTGTAGGATTTACTGTGATTTAGAGGACTGGATAGAAAGGTATTCAGGTACTTCTCTGTCCATTTTAAGACACAGATTTCCTACCTACCACGTACTACAACTTGGAGAGAGAGATTTCAGAGGATAAGAAGTGGACATTCTACCCAGTAAAAGAAATGGTGGGTGGACAGCCAGATACCAGTTTCCCTCCCAAGCAAAGAGTTAACGTAGGCAAATGTGAGGAAAGAACAGCTGCACTGGTATCATGTCTATTTGTGAGTGCACAGAGGGGAAAGCTTTTCTCCTCTTGGCTTCAGAGGGGAAAAGTGTAAACAGGGTGAAAGCCCCTACAGCTGAAGATTTGACCTTGAATCTCTACAGGTGAGAGGACAGCTTGTCTACAGTATCGGTGGAAGATAACAGGTAAGCACAGGTGTTTCTCCTAAAATAGTCTTTTGCTCAAAATTAGAAAGGACAGCTTTTATCCCGGTCTAAAATGAAGCATCTTTGCCAGGGCTGTTATCTTGACACTGTCGGTCAAGCTGGACGCTGAGCAATGGACTGAGCAAACGTGCACACAGGCACTTAGCGCAACGCCACTCCTAAAAAAAAGAGCATCATCAGTCCGTTGAAATCTTAAAAAAAAAAACCTTTTAAAAATATTGCCTTTGGCTGCAGTCTCATTTGCATCTCACTTCGGGAAGCCTGTAGAGTTTGCAGTGACAGCCCTGACACGCACAATTCCTTCCGAAAATGATGAATGAAGGACCCGTATGGCGGGGCGGGGCCCAGCGCGCTCCGTTCCCGGCGGTATCACAGGGACGGACACGGGAATGCCAATGGCCGTCACCCGGGGGGTCCTCCTGGCGGAGCGGGCTCCCGGCGCCCACACCGCGTCCATTCACAAACACAGAACTGCTGAGGAGCAGCGCCTGTTCCGCTCCCCCGGCCACCCGCAGCCCGGGAGGGGAGCACG